TATATATATATATATACATTGAAATTGACAGTGAAAAAAAAACACAATTAGGTCCTCTGGTTCTCTGCTGTGAAAAAGAAGAAATACTTTTCACAAAACCCAATAAAATAATTTTCGAAAATTTCCAGATTAAAAAAATTTTTGTATTATGAAATTAAGAGCAGGAATGGCATGTAACTACCATCACTTTTACTATCAATTAGGTGCATACCAAGTACTGATGTTTGCCTTCCAACTACAAAATTAACTTGAAAATCCTGCATAACTATTAAATTACTTTCAATAAACTATATTATAGCCTGAAAATTACAACTTTAAATCTGTAAACTCTAAAGGTACTGATGAAGGATTTCAAAAGTCCAAATCTACTTATTTTATTGTTTAAGGATATTGTTTTTTACCGAAATATGTGTAGAATATGTATAGTTAAGGGATCTATTTTAAAATTGCAGATGGAAATAAATTATAGATTGAAAAAGGTGGGAAAAATCCTGATATAATTAAATTTTATTAGAGAGGATAAGTATGCAAAACTTAAAATATTTCTTTTTAATCAATATTCGTCAAACACACCCCAAAGACCGACTTTTTATAGATACTTTAGAAAAAAATTGTACACGTCACACTAATTTTAAAAAAAAATGGAGAAAAAGAAATAACTTAGAAAAGAGATGAGAAAACTTCACTACTGCGTAGTAATAAATAAAAATACTTGCATATTAGCTTTTTCTGATAAATCGAAAACGTAATAAAATCGAGAACTGCAAACAAGATATTTTAAGTTGTAAAATTTTGTAAAAATTAAAACAAACCTAGTGTAAAAAATCATTAAAAAGTGTAGAGTGACTTCAAAAAATCATAGAAATGAATAAAAAAACTGCAAAGTAAGCATTGGCTAAAAAGCACTCAGCACAAATTCTGTCTTCAGTAAAAAAAAGTAAACGACATCTCAGGAAACAGGTAAATTGGGTATTACTTTTTTTTTTCCTCCTCATGTTCTAGAGTTCAAAATTATCTGAACAAAATTACAACGAGGTTCTACATTTTTCAAAAATAAAGTGAAAGAAAATTCCCATGCTTGAGTGACATAGTTTGTCAAAAAAATGTTGCCAAGGGAGTAAAAAAATATAATCACAGACTGGAAAGAACATATATTGATCTAGAAGGAAGACTACGTTTTTTTCTTTAGAAATTTCAATCATTTGTGATATATTTTTTTGAAATAATTATTTTTTCTGCAGACTTTTTTTCCTCCTAGTTTCCCGAAGATTTACTTTTTTTAAGAATATGTAACAAGTTTTTAAATTTTCTTTTTTCATGTAACAGGGAGGAATTTATATACAAATAATTTTAAAAGCATGTACTTAATCCATGAATATATATGATTAATTTTTACTTTAGTTCATTGTAATTTAAATTTACTTAGTAAAACAAAAATTAAATATTTCATAAAACCATATAAGTAAAGATTGTAAGAGAATGGAAATTTTTACAAATATTTGTTTTGTTGGATAGTTGCTTTAATTACTCATATTTTTATAGCAATTTAGCTTTCTGGCTTTTTTTTTAAGTAAAATTTAACATTATTTAATAATTAATTATATCATTTATTAAATAGGAATAATTAAGAAAGTATTATAAGTTTCAGACAACTTAAAAAAAATATTACCAACAACTGAAACGTATGTAGAACCAGACGCCATTTGACCTTCTGTATTTTTCACAGTACAGCTGTACTCTCCTCTATCAGCTGAACGTTGCACATTTTGTATTGTCAAAGTACCACCGTGGTTTATTTTCTGCCTATGGCTTAAAGGCAGAAGAACTCCATCTGAAATAGATATGTATCATAAATTGTTTTGTTTTAGTAACTGAAAGAATAGCTAATTGCAATTAGCTCACCGAATTCAGATAAAATGAACAAATATTGTACAATAAATATTATGCAAATAATATTTTCAATATATATAACGAAAAATAAAAATAAATCAAGGATATGACTTAGATGAACAAATTAATTTTTATACAAAACTGCATTTAATTCAGCAACAAAAAGCTGCGTGATTTTTTTATTCTTCCCATTTCTGCAATTACAATAATATTTTTTTTTTGTTAGCGATTTTTAAGAATTGCCTTCCTTTATTCGTATTTAACTTTGGTTACAAAAACTAACTTTATAATATTTTAATGAAGGCCATAAATTGATACATTAAGCATTAAAATAAAAAATGCATTAAAATAAATTGATACATTAAAAAAAAATCTATTAACAACTATTGTGAAGTTGCTCACAAATTACGAAATGAGGACACAATAGCCTAGTATGATTTGTGGCATTCATTAACACAAAAACAGGCTAACTTTTTTTTAAAATAAAATAAAAATAAATTGTGGAATTTCATCAAACAAATAATATTACTCTGCTTAAAATATAGTCTCCTAGTATTGTCCTATATTCCTCATGTTATTTAGAGTTACAGGAAAAAAATAAAAACCAATTCTGCAATTTTATACTTTAATATTTTCAAGCATTTAAGAAAGATTACAATACGATTATCAGGCTATAAACAAAGAACATGCTTTCCCAATACTACTACTATGTAAAGTAGAACAGCAGCTTGTAATGACTCACATAGGACATGCTATGTTTCGGCGCTATGGAAAAAACCATCTTTAATGCTGAAATAAATATATATAAATATTAATACTGTATGTTCACTGCGCTAAAAAACGGACCACCATTAATAACTTTCGATCCAACGATCGGATCTTCGCGTTCTAGGACTCAATCTCAATAGTTCGAGAGCGTGATCTCAAATATGCTAATTAATTAGTGCAGACAGATAAAAATCAAGACGAAATCAGATAAAAAAACGTACTTTTTCTGAATAAACATGGCTTCATTTCGACTGATAGGTTTCTCTAATCCCCAAAATATAGGGTTAGCCGCAATCTGAGATATATGGTTACCATAGTTTGGTCAGAAGTGTGTTCCAAAGTTTAAAACCTCTAATATAAATTTTACTTTTTGGGTGTTTCGTCATATCACGAGAGCTTTTTAAGCGAATTAAAATTACAAAGCTTGTTTAGCCAAAGATAATTCTATTCGAAAATCAACTTTTAGTAAATATTTATTATATGCTATTATTTTATTTAATAATAATCTGAAAAAATTGAATTGTAAGATATAAAATTTTTTGCATCAATTTAAAAAAAAATATTTTAAAAAATTTACATGACAAAATTCAAAATTTGAGCAAAATTGGATGAATGGTTCGAAAGAAATTGAATTTCAAAATAGTCAGGTGTTTAAAATTCGGTTTTTCAGGAAGTATTTAACTGAGTTTGCTCAAATTTTATATTTTGCCATGTAAAATTATATTCTTTAAAATGATGAAAAAAATTGTATACTGCACAGTTCAAAATTTCATTCAACCTTCATTTAATAAAATAATAAGTATTTAATGAAAGTTATTTTTTTTGTCTGGAATTATCTTGGGGCAAACGAATTTCATAAAGAATGTGTTTTTAACAGAATATATTTTTACAAGAGGAATTATAAATTTGAGCAAAATCGGCCGAATAGTTCCTAAGAAAAGTAATTTAAAAAATATGACGTTTTCAAAATTCAATTTCTCAGACACTGTCGAAAGACTTTGTTCTAATTTTGTATTTTACCATTTAAAATTACATTCCTTGAAATAACGCGAAAGAATGTATACCTTATAATTTAAAATTTTTTCGACTATTATTAAATAAAATAATAAAAACTAATTAATATAGACAAAAAGTCTGGATAAACAAATTTCATAATTGCGTGCAAAAAATTTTCAATTTGCTTAAGAAAGTTTTCGAGATATTGCGAGATACGCAAAAAGTATAATTTATATTAAAGGGTCATCACTTTGGATCGCTCTCCTAGCCAAAGTATTGGGCCATACTCCCCGAATTGCGACAATCCCATTTATTTTGGGGGTCAGAAATCCGAATTCGAAAAAAAGGTATGTTTATTCGGAGAAAGTGCGTTTTTGTGTCTGATTTCGCAACTTAAAATATCGTCTGAACTTATTAATTAACATATTTGAGGCTACCCTTTTGAGACATTACGAGGCTACCCTTTTGAGTCCCTAGAACCGGAAAATCCCTAGTGTCCAAGAACGCTTGTTTTGTTAATCTTTTCTTTTACGAACTATATACAAACTTTATTGATACCGCAATATTGGTTGTTTTCCTTATGTGTGTCTAGTGAATATCTTATTTATGCTCTTGACTGTGTGAATATTTGAATGTCAAAAATGAACCTTATCAAGGAAAAATGAAGCCGAACTCAAATGACATTTAGAACAATTTTTAATTACTAAGTGTGTTCCCTAATGATTTAGCCGAATCTTGTAAAACTTTTGAGGAATTTAACTAAACTATTATTATTAGGACTCGCAAATTAATATTTAAATGGGAAAAATGTTCATTAAATATGACTAACTTTTCTTGAATTAGAAAAGGGTAACAGCAAAAGAGGGATAAAAATCATAAAAACTAGTTAATTTGGGAAGGAGAGACATGAATGAATTTTTCTATGAACACTTTTTGTGATTCATTTTTCTACTGAACGAGTATTAGATGGTTCCATCCTATTACTTGCATTTATTGCAATAATAACTTTTAGCAATACAAAAAAAAAATTCATTCAAAGATTATTGTGAAATTTTTTGATTGTTAAGTGTTATTTTATGTATCAGAAAGATTTGAAAATGAATATTAGAATTGCCTCAAATTATACTCGGTAAAATTTATTTCTATGGGATATTTTTAACGGTTAAAAAAAAGCAAAAATGTTTAAAATGTAGAACATTTTAAATGCATATTACTTATAAAGAAAATATTGTATTGTCAGCTTCTCTAAAAATTTTTCCAATTTGTGTGTTATGTATCATAGTTTGATTGAATTACTGAATTTTAGATGAAATTACAGAAAGTGAAACAGCCTCATAAGAAATAAGAAATAGTGAATTTTAAAAATTGGAGCAAAACATTATTTAGATAAGTTTTTTTCTACGCATTGAAAAAGTTTTTTTCTACACAAACAAAGGCATTCAAAAGTTGATCTATTCCCTTTCAACATGCAAAGATGGAAACATTTCTACAAGTTTTGAGGAAAAATACATTAAAGAAGTGCTAAGCTATTAATCATGTCATGATTTAAAAAAGTTTGCATTTGATCTTAATTTTTTTCACGGAATCGAAAAGATAGTACTTATTACATAGAGGTGGAGAGATTTTTGATTACTTCCAAAAAAACTAAAATAATAAATAAATAATATTATGTAAATACTTTTAAGCACTTTTTATTTTTTTTTTACTATTTCAACAATTCGTTAATATGGAGGTATTTTTAAAATAGCTGTTATCTAGTGAAAATTTTGGAACCTTGAAAAGTAATTACCTAACAATAGTAACAAGGAGCTAATTATAGTTAAAAAGTTGACTTTTAAGTAAAAGCATGATTTATAATGGCTTTTAAAAGTGTTACCAAAAATTAGGAATCTTTTTTATATCTACCACTTCTTTCTATAATCCCTGTAGTAAATATAGTGACAATCTTTTTTTATTTACCTAGATTTCACTGGTCTTATGTGTTTGACCCAGTTTTTATTGACCTAGAATTTGAAACTATCTTTGAATAATTTTATGGCAACAATTTTCTGAAAATAGGCGAAGAAAGCGACAGTGAATAAATTTAGTGATCTTCTTAGTTATTTAGTTAATATGGAAACTAGATATATACATAGTACGTTAGGAAATTAGATAATTACATATTGATTCAAATACATCATTGTTATTTAAATAAATTATATGTAGTTATACATATATTTAGTTTAGGTAGTTAAGGAACTTGCAAGTAACATTATGTGCTAGTTTGTCTTTTCAGCTGATAATTCACTTAGTGTACTAGTAATTAATTTAATAAGAAATCCTTGCTTAGTTTATTACACGAAGAAAAATATTTCTAGTTAAATTACTGTTCTTTATGGTATTGACATTTTTGGTAAAATAATCACATTTCTGATATTAAAACCAAAATACACAGAATTTGAGCCATTGATTTGAAAATTGTTTAGTTCGTTATGATTACGGATATATTAGAAATCCTATTTTACAAAATAATGGTTCTCATTACCAAATATTTAATTAAAATACAAAACTGAAAATTTTATTTAATAAAATAAAGGGTTTTTATATCATGTTCCACTGTATTGTATTAAAATTTCCATTAAGTTCTTCAGAAATGTCCTTTATTTTAACATTTCTTTGATAATTTTAACATTTTAATGTCTATGCTTTTTACCAGATAGAATATTAAAAGAGTTTATATACTTTTATTGTGTGCTTCAAATGGTGTTTTGTTCCTTAATAACTGAGGTGTAGGTAAATTATGAATTTCACATTAGGTTGTTTAGTTATAACAGTTAGTAACAGTTAGTCGTAACAGTAAAGTCAATGATTTAATTTAGTCCATTCCAAGCAAATATTTTCCATATATTTACAAATACATATTTTTTATAGTTTTAAAGGTTGGTAGATGTTATCTTTCAACTGAAATAAAATGAACGAAAACAATTAATTGACAAAAACCAAAGTTAACAAGTGTTATTTGAAGAAGGTAGGAGTCATCAAACTGAAACTTTTAGCATCATCTCTAATTATACCTGTTAAAATTACTAACATTTTGGTTGAAATCATTAACGCTTACAAGATTTACTACCAAACAGCAAGGTGATAAAAAATATTTTGTTAATTTTACCAAAAGTCTTTGCCAAAGCAATTTACTAAAAATTACCGTCTTTTTTTTATATATCCTTATAGCCAGTAGCATGGTAAATTTTACATTATTTTTATACTTTTTTACAGTACTGTTTTCTACAGTACTGTGATCTAACTGGTTAGATACTCAGTAAATAAGTGAAGTCAGAATTTTATTTCTTTCTAATGTTTATCCTACAATTCAGAACAGTAAACAAAACCTATTTTCCTCATTATTTCAAAAAATTTTATTTGATGTCCCGTTAAACTAATTATCCTCGATAAAGTTATTATACAAACTCTTTTATTCATTTTCATCAAAGAAACCTTCTTTTATGTAAATCTAAAATCCTTTTATTCAATAATAGCGAATTAATGTGGTTTATCTGTGACAAAATATTTCCTCTTCCTCAACACATTTCTTTTTGTGCTTATATTATCGTGCCTCGACATTTTATAGTAACAGGGTTTATTATCGCAATTCATTTTGGGATTTACAGCGTCACAAAAATATGCTGTTGTTTCCAAATATGATATTAAAAGCAACGAAGATCATTCAAATGCCATGAAAATGTTCTAAGTTGTAATACATTTGATAAATAATGTGTCAAAAACAGGCACGTCAAATATTCTTTTCAAAAAAGATTCACGATCGTCAGGTTTTGTTTTCTAAATAACAAAAATTCCTGAAGATCGATTTTTTGTTTGTTTGTAAGCTTATATCTTTCAGTGAATAAAAAAAAATTCTTCCTCTGCAGATTTTTTAAAGCTTTTCACTTTGAATAATTGCAAGATTCCTTAAATAATAACAAAATGGAAGTGTTTCCCAACATATATACAATTATTATTATTATTATTATTATGCATATATATATATATATATATATATACATATGTTCATATTACTCTTAAATATAAAACTAAAAAAATATAGATATTTAATTTCCTTATTTTATGAACGTCTCTTTCAACAAATTAATTGTATCCCTATGAGCAATAGTTTTAGTACAAATGTTTGCACTATTTCTCTTTTTCGCTAAGAAAATAAATTTATTTAAATCAACAAATAATTTTTAAGCCTAATCTTCCTACAAATTTCACCTTTCTCAGATTCTCCTAACAGAAGAAATTATTTTAATTTTACACTTAGAAAGTTATAAGTGTTAGCCAATAAGGTATTTTTCTATATTACCAATTAGTCTTAAGTTTTGCAGAAATAATTCCAATTATAAAGAGTTTTTTAAAACAGACTAATAAATTTAAAGCAGATCTACTTAATAACCATTTGCCTTATTCATTTATCCGGTTTCATTTATTAAAAAATGTAAAAAATATCGAATGCTGATGTATTTTCCCTGATCAAAGTATTAGTTCTAAACTATTTTTAAGGTTGAAACTAATTATGATTAGCGATTTTTGAAACCACTGTAAAGATTGCTTTGAATGTATGACCTTTTAAGAAGAATTAATTAATTTATTTATTAAACTTTTAAATTGTAGCCATTAGAAATTTACTTTAATTTTAGTAGTCCAGTGCAATAAAAAGTTCTTTATTTTTTTATTTTCTTTGTTTATTTATAATTTTTTTTGTTTAGTAAGTATGTATGTGGCTTCGACCTATAAACGGGCACCCTCCATAAAAACTGGTAATACGTGTAGATTTTACTATTACGAAAGAATTTATTAATGCTGTTTAAATTCTATAAATGGATTTCTATCCATTTAGGAGGGCTCTAACATTAACAGTCAACCTACGAAAGAAGGAAAGAAAGTAAAATGGTTTATATCTAGTTTGCGTTTATATGTAAAGTCCTACAAATATTACTAATATATATATTTATAAAGATTTTACAATTTTAGCTCAATTCTTTATTGAATTTTATAAACTTTTTTTCCTATAATGGGTTTTGTTACTCAAATTTTCCAATTATTAATGTTCTTAAAGTGTTTCTTTCACAGATGACTGCGCAGAACTTTATTCTGATATTTTTATCAATTATTTTTTACAAGAAAAATTAACGCACTTTAATTGTGCTTTTCTTCCTTAACTATTTTTATTATAACTATAATATTAGTCAACCTTATTTTAAGCTTAACTATTTTTATTGAATTTTTTTTCTTTCATTTTGATATTTTGTTTTCAGCTTTTCTTTTTTTTTAATTTTAAATTCATCTAAAATTGCATTATGTTTATATTTCTCTTAGCTCCTTTGAGACAAACATGTATTAAAAAAAGTAAGACTTAAATATATAATTGTAAAAATTGTAATAAATTTAAATAATAATTGCAAAAAAATATTTTTTTAATGTATTGTAATTGTAATCAATCAAAAAATCACTAATATACATTAGTTATAGAAAATTCCAAAGCATGTTTTTTAAACAATGTTCGTATATAAAAGGTTTAGAATGTTGCAATGCACACTATAATAAAAAAAAATTTGTGTAGAAAAATAGATTAAAAGCTTTTCTTTAACGAGATGCTCATTTTCAAAAGCAATAAATTTTTCGTACAATCAGCTTTCCAAGATGGTCTGTCTGCTTAGTTTGGCTCCACTTCCTTTTATTTTAGACGATCATAAATAAAAATCCATTGAAAAAAAGTTTCCTCATAGTAAATACGTTTTTGTGACTGAATTTGTAACTTAAAATATCGTCGCACAGATATTTTTGCAACACATTTATAGTGTTAAATTTTCGAACTATTAAAATTGAAGGTCTGTACATCTATAAATTTGATTGTTAGATCAAAAGCTTAAGAGTTAGATCGAAAGTTATACAAGGTTCTCACATTTTGTTCTCCCTTGTCAGTTTGATAATTAACTTTTATAAATAACACAAAAATCGTAAAATTTTGTAATACGGAGTAAAATTAAATTTCTTTCAACTTTACAGGAATAATCCTCTTAACAGACTCCATTTAGAGAGAAAAAAACAGCTCCCGGATATATAGACGGCTCAATATGTCCTCCTCTACAGTTAAAAGAAAACTAGGAGTGGGTGAACAAACTATACACAGTACATGAATATTCATCGAAAAGTATTTTGCAAAATCTTGGTATTTATATGAATTTAAATATTTTCATTCATATCCTGTTGGACTATCTTTGGAAGAATATCCTCTAGGCAGAAATAAAGGACTTTAAAAATTCGATTTATTTGATCGGTGGATTTTTTGTAAGTATAAAAAAATGAAAAAATAACATGTATGAAGATTTTACCTATAAGTATAAAAACTACATTTGTTATGAGAGATTAAAATTTGAATGGGTCAAAATTGTAGGATGGTGCAATTCACATCTAACTGTGCTAAATTAGAAAATGGTTAAATTTCCTTTAACAAATTGATGATAAATGAATATAAAAACGAGAATCAAATTTTGCAAAAATTTGTTATTATCGTAATAAATTTTGAATTTAGTTTAATTGATATTTTTTTTCATTTTACTTGCTGTATTTCAACAGATACGTAATATAACTTTCAAAAAAGATATAGCATTTTTCATCCTAAATAATATCTTCATATATATTTGGTAAACTTGCTTTTGTATGCTTAGCAGGCGATTACTTTAAGTAGTAATTGCGTTAGTTTTTTAATGGTTTACCGCCTAAATTTCCCTAAAAAATTCAACGCATGTTTTATTTCCCGCAAATCGAATCAAACCATTATTCACATATTATTTATTTATTTATTGCTATTTATTTATTTTTGCTAAAAATATCCCATTAGGTATGGCAGATTTTAAGCCCTATCTATTCCTTATGAAAGTATATTAATTTTTCTGTTCTCCTAAGAATTTTGTACAGCAGCAAGAGCTAAACTCTAAAATTCTATTCCAAGTTCATTTACTTCCTAAGTATTTACTTACTCTTAAACCATTTGATGCTCTTGATGGGATATCCTCCGTAAGGGCAACGAATCGTCAGGTCTTCTCCCGAAACAGCAGTTACGTTTCTCATTGTTCTGACGAAAGGCGGTCCGTAAATGTTAAGTCGGGCTGCATGAAAGGTGCTGCCGACATCATTTTCGCCTTGACACCTATATTCACCGCTGTCTTCGACTCGAGCTTCCGTGATGTTCAGCACACCAGTCACGTGACCGAGGTCACCCATTCGATCCACGGCTGTCACACGGGGACCTTGATCTATGGCAATGTCGTCTAGATGCCATGTGATGCGGGGCAGAGGATTACCGGTTGTAACACACTTGAGGGAAATTGAGTCACCGGAATGGGCTGTATGTTCTGGAAATGCTGATATCAAGGTCGGAGGCACATCTGTAATAAATGAATTCACATTAATGTATTAATTCAACCATTCGAAGATTCAATATCCATTAGAATTTTAGTCTATTTCACATTAATACAGAATTTAAATCCCTCTATATCGAAAAATCGTGAGTGTTGCCATCACTGTTTTCGGTGTTCAATTTAGTTAACAGTTTTCTTTGCTGTGATAAAATTATAAGACTTAGAAACTAGAACTAAGAATAGTGAGTAGGAAAATGTATATATACCACGATGAATTTCTGACAATTAGATCGGTAATTATTAACTGTTTAACTTGGAATTAAGAAATTTCCATGCGGGCAGTGCAACTAAAAATGCAACTATAGAGTTAATTTTGATGAGCTAAGAGGGCCATTTTTTTGATGATCTAAGTACGAGAATTTTTCAAATTTCATTCCAATGTTACCCGTTTTTCATAAGTTTGTTTCGGATTTTTTTTAGTTTTAAATAAAGAAAACATTCCTATTGTAGTAGAAAATTTTATTTACCTTTCCTGAAATTTAAATTAACACACGCGTTTAGCAATGAAAGATAGTTCTGAGGCTATGAGACACTGCTTATAACATTTATATAGATGAAATTCGTATTTTATTTTATTAAAAAAAATTTAAATACCATTCCTTCCCTTTGTGTTACAAAGATAACGACCCAAAAAGAATATATTTTAGTGCAAAAGGAGAGAGCTTAAAAAGAGAAATGTTAATAGGTGCTGAATTCGTTTTGAGGTCTGTTCTAACCGATTTTTATTAAAGATCAGTTATATATGTGCAAAAATAAGAATACAGAATCTGCAGAGGTAATGTAACAGCTTTCGCATCCACAATTATGGGTTCTCGTTAAAATTGCCCATTTCGGAAAACATGCGAGTGAGGATAGTATTTGAGTGCATAAACGTTGCCTTAATAATTAACTATCCCCATATATGGTACATACTACACAGGTTTAGAATCAGAAAAATATTTTTTGAGTACAATGTGCCGGAAAGAAAAGAAACCCTAAATAACTTTTGATCTAATGATCAGATCTTCACGTTCCAGGACACAATTTAATGGTACCAGGGGTTGACTTCAAATGTATTAATTAATGAGAGCACACAATATTTTAAGTTACAAAATCAGACACACAAACGTACTTTTCTCTGCATAAAGATAACTTTTTACCGACGGATTCAGATTTCTGACCCCCGAAATATTGAGGGTAACCGCAATCTCGGAAATATGCTGCCCATAGTTTGATAAGAAGAGCAATCCAAAGTTTGGACAAATGTTAATTCTACTTTTTGAGAATTTCACCATATCACTGGAATTTTTGAAGCGAATTCCAAATTCTTGATTCACAACTATCTAATTCGTTTGCTCAAAGATGCAAAAAAAAAATTTTTATTAAATATTTATTAATTTTATTATTTTTTTTATTAATTGTCTAAAAAATTTTTAAGCGTAAGGTCTACAATTTTTTACGTCTATTTAAAACATGTAATTTTCTATGGCAAAATGCAAATATTGAAAATTATCAGATGAACAGTTACTGAAAAATTGATTTCAGCAAGTTCTATATTTTTCTCATGATTTTAATGGTAAATAGGAAATATTATTAATACATCTACCTGTATCATGTTTCATCATTAAGGCAAAAAGTCATATGAGTTCGAATAAAATTTATATTATTTATATTATGCACATAAATCTAAGTTCATTTTTCTTGGAAATATTTTTTACCATCATTTGAAAGATTACACTTCTGAACTATCTGATGATCAGTATGATCTTTAATCATATGCTATATTTTTTTTATGGTGAATTCTCTCAATAAGAAAAATAGAGCACTGGTTTTATTATATCGTTGTCATGGTATGAGAAAGAAAACAAATGCATAATAAAGATTAAACCTGCATTACTGTAAATATATTGGTTCTGGGCTAATAAGAGTTGAATTGTTCAACTTCAAAATATATCCTCGCATGAAGTTACTTATCAAATTTAGACTGAAAAAATATAATTTAACCAATATGACTGAATTAAAAATACGCAACAGAAAAAAACTAAATTTTTTCAACACTTGAAAGATAAAAATAGAACTTGATTTTTCACAACGAGAATTCATGATTTTTAAAATCATAAAATTTCCTTTAATATATTTTTTCTTGTTTTCTATGTCTAAACTAAAAGGTGAATATATATATATATANTTGCATGACTTAATCTTCAAACTACTGTTCTATATTATTAAGCAATGTTGCTTAAAGAAAAAGTTTCAAAAGGTTTGCTCCCTACTGTCTATTTTTTTTATTTACATTATGGTGGGTGCTCTTTTTGGAAGATTGTGTTATCTCTCTGTTTTTTGGATTTTGGGTTGAGTAATTTTCTTATTGAATTAAATTTTATATGTATATATATATATACAGAGAGAGAGAGAGAGAGAGAGAGAAATTTTTTAGAAAATTGAAAACAAATTTTCAAACAATTATAAAATTTGTACGTTCAAAGATATTTCCATGCGAAATATAACTATTTGTATGGATTATTTTTTTTAAAATTATCTTACTTAATAATTGTCAAAAAAAATTTATTATAAGGTATACCTTTTTCACATCATTTAAAGGAATGTAATTTTAAATGGCAAATTACAAAATTATGCGCGAAATTGGTCAAATAGTTTCTGAGAAATTAAATTTTGAAAAAGTCTTATTCTTAAAACTCATTTTCTCTGGAACTATTCGTCCGATTTTGATCAAAATTTATATTTTGCCTAGTAAAAATAAATTTTATGAGATTATGTAAAACAATTATACCTTACATTTCAATATTATTTCGACTATTATAAAATAAGCTAACAAACAATAGTAAAGGCTCACAGGAAGTTGTTTTTGCATGGGAATATCGTTGGCTAAATAAATTTTATAGTTGAATGTTTTATTTAAAATTCGCGATCTATCCGCGATCTATTTCTCGAAATATAGCGAAATACGTAAAAAGTAAAATTAACATTTTGGGTTCCTAACTTTGGACCACTCTCCTGACCAAACTATTGGGACCATATTTTCCAGATTGCAGCTAACCCTAGGGTTTAGAAATCCAAATTCGTCGGAAAAAAATGTTTATTCAGAGAAAGTACGTTTTTGTGTCCGATTTCATAACTTAGTATATCGTCTGCTCTCCAAATAATTAATGTATTTGATGTCTGCCTTTCGAATCTTTAAGATTGAGCCCTAGAGTGTGATGATCTTATCATTAAATCAAAGTTATTCAAGGTGGTCCGTTTATTTATTTATTTTTTTTGCGCAATGTACATTACTGTAAAATCCTTATTTTTCAACCATCATGTAGCAACAATGGGTTTAAAACTGTAGGAAACAGAGCTTTGAAATCCTGTCAAAGAATCTCAGCGATTAGAAATCAGGTAAAAAAGAATTTGCCACTAACTCATTGACGCTTAGAGTACCTTCCCATTTCTTTATTGACAACGTTTACATTAGTGTAGAAAACTTTTTCCTTATAATATATTGTAAAAAAATAAACAGTGTATGGTGAATACACTCACTATTAAACTGCCTAGCTGCACTATTTAACTTCAGGTTAAGTATTACCGAGTTGTCCTGTCTTGAAAATAAATAGCTTGTGTGCATAATACTCGCTGGCCTACAGTAGACTGTTTTTTTTAACTTTTTTATATGGTACGCTTATAAAAATTCATTTATGCAAAATAGTATCTTTAAATCAAATTACTTATTCTTGGAAAACCTTATTTTTTATTTAAATTTAAAAAAAAACTTTTTTGGTGTACAAATCAAAAACTTAAGAAGGACGTATTTGAATGAAAGTCATAGTTTGCAGTTAATTATGGATAAAATGGGAATTAGTGATAAGCTGCGTTTAAACCAAATGTTATTGAATGATTTAGCTGATTTTCAGCATATTTTCACGAAAGTATCAGAAGCAAAAGTTTGAAGAGCTCCAAATACGTCCATGTGATGACAAATGATTGACGAACGACTTTTCTTATGTCACAAAAGAGCGGAGTTGAGTGGTATAGAAACTTTCTGGTTATTCATCAATGTCATCTAAAACGCTCCTAAACGTTCATGTCCATATATATATATGTATATATATATATATATATATATATAAACAAAAATTGCTAAAAAAATAACACAAATGTCTTTTCTCGGGTATTCAATTTCTGAAATAAAAAAATCAATAAGTCATTTTCTAACGTGAATTTTTCCTATGGATAGAAGAAATTTAAACAGAAGTGTTTAGAATTTTAAGATTTGAGAAATTTTGCGTTTAGAAAGGTACTTATCGAATTTAAACTGCTTTCAAAGTATTGGAACATTTGCCACCGATAAATATCTTTATCGAAATAAATCCATCTAACTGTAATAGAAAATGATGAAAGATTATTGATTTCATTAAAAGTATAAATTTCCTTTGGAGTGTAAAAAAAGAATCTTTTTTGGTCGAAATTTACTCTTTCCTTTTTAATTCCTGTCTCGATAATTTTTTGTCGATTAGCAGAAATTCTATTTCAATAATGCTGAAATCACCTAATTTTGGTGCACCCTTATGGACAAAAAAAAATTATTTTTTTAATTATTTTTCTTTTTATTGATTGTATACAGTCTTTTACACAATTTAACCTAAATTTTTGTAATTTTGAGTTTTAATTATTTTTTAAGCTAATATAATCTAATTTTATATAGGATTTTCCTGCAAATTTCGAAAATTCCACTACTTACAACCACAAAGCAGGAGTTTATGAATACAAACAATGCTTCCTTGATTAAATTGTTTAACTATTTATAGATAATGGGTCTGTAAAATTTAATTTCATTAGGATGAGTAGTTTCTGAGAAAAGGTACATTTCATGGCAAAAATCACAGTTTTGAGAAAAATAGCGTTTAGTGTAAAGTAATGATATTTTACTCATAACAACTATTTTTCATGTTTTTTTAATAATAAAGAATAAATGTACTCTTAATAATGTA